CTTTCGCGCATGATGCCAGAGTAGAGGAATATCAAGAGAATGACGGGGCGATACCTCATATAAGATCTGTATGACTGAGATACAAATGGAATGAGATCTGTATGTAACATACATGAATTCTGTATGAAAGAAGATGGAGTCATTGACTATAATAATTGACATTCAATTGAAATCATTCACTCATCTCTGGTGAAATGGAAGAAAAGAAGATTCACACAAATCTCACCAAAATCCAATCTTTCACCGAATGACCCTTATTTCCACTACTAATCAAATCACGTGATTATACCGCACCCCGCGTGATGATTTCCCCAATAATTCTCGAGCTGTTAAAAACACTCAACGAGATCGAATATCAAATTGATAATTCTCAATCCTTCAAACTTCCAAAAGAATAATACATTGGATTCTAGACTCTTTTTGAAGAAAAGCTACACACCATCATACCTCCACATCTATTCTTTCAAAAACTCTACACGCAATTCAAAATGGCATCTTCAATTGTCGACCGCAAATTGGATCTTCTCTATTTGATCTATTTCTGCTTGCACATCCCGGTTTTGTTCTGTAAGTTATGATTCTTCTTTTCTAGACAGTACGAGGTAGTGTTGAAGGATTGTACCTTGGAGATATCTTTTCATCTACTATTTCTTTCTCAATCCTTCAATTCTTAAACTAGTATTCGAATATAGAAGAGTCTTCTCATCATCTTCCTCCTCTTCTCTTCTTTCCTCCTCTCCTCTTCTTTCCTCCTCTCCTCCTCTCCTCTCCTTCCCTCTATCCCCCTTCCCTCTACCACCTCCCCTCAGGTCTCCCATTCTCAAACCTACAAACTAACCTCTCCTCTTCCCCTCTAGTAATGGATCTCCAATCTCTCTACCCCGCCTCCCTCACCCCAGCATTCTTGACCGCCATCAAAAACTCCCACATCGCCAATTACAACGATTTATTCTTCGTTTCACCACCCATCTATTTCAATCTATTTGTTTGGTTGGAATGTTTGATTCATTTACCTGTTAGTTTTTGGGCTATTGGAGGATTGTTGAGAGGTATGTTTTTTTGTTTTCTATTTCTGTGTGTGCTTTGTATTGGGTGGTTGTGATGGTTGGGTTTGGTCAGATGGTAGGAAAAGAGAGAAGGAAAAGAGAAGGTTGGGATGCTCAAGACAAACCTGCTACTATGTGGTATGCTGTCTATTTACATAAGTGTGTAACAAAGATATTTGTGCGTCGTCAGAGTAATCAGGCCAATTTTACTTCTGCTGTTCAAGATGTTCAATATTTGGACATTCGAATGTCTAGTTTCTTTCCTCTTATCTCCTATCCACAACCAACATACCAACATTGTCTTCCCTTTCTTTTCTTCTCTCTTTTTCCTTCCCATTTCCTACGTATACTCTCCTCTTCCTCCCCGCTCCGAACCCACCCTCACAACATACACTAACCCTCTTCCTCTAGATTCTCCCCGCATCCCTCTAATCCTTCTTCCATACGCCCTCGAAACTTTCCTCACCACCCTCGTCTGCATGCATGAATACGCTTACTGGCCCATTCCACGCTATCAAAAGGTTGATTTGACTAAACTTTATGGTCCTTATATTCTGTTGTGTAAGTATTCTCTTCTTCTGTAAATATGGAATAGATGAGATCCGACCTCCTCCCTCCCTTCAACAAATAATAATAGAATAAAAATTAACTCTATACAGCAATTGTAATGGCCATCGATATGTTCGTCCGTCTTTGGCGTATCGTTTCCGCTTCCACCGCCGCAAAGAAAGGAAAGAAGAATATCTAAACATACTTTCTTCTCGAGGTCTCAACCATCAATCCTGCAGCCAACCAACCTTCTAGCAATTCAACAAAAGTCACTTCATTTCCCATTTCATCGAAAACAGCGCATGATACCCCAAAAGAAAAGTTTTTCAAAGCGAATTGGTTATGAAGATTTTTAGTCTAGGATCAACTACCCTCAACCAGGTTAGGTTGAATCAGTTTATTTCAGATCAGATTACATAGTATTCTAGAATTCTGAATATAAAGTATACACACATACACAGACGTGCATTAAAATCAAATTGTACGATCATAACATATTACTCATCATCGATAGATACATTATATGAGTTCCATATGCATGTGAAGTTGATTATGAGTAATCGAATCAACCCATTCATTCTATCCCATCACCCTCCCAGATCCCAAATCCCATTTAACCTCATCCCAAATAATCCAGTCCAATTCAACCTGCAGCTGCCCTTCATTCCTATTTACCTATTTACCTCCTCCCCCGCGCTCATTCTAACTTTCTAATTTCAACCCCTCGGATCTCTTCACCACCTCTCTACACCACCGCCACCAGATCCTCCTCTCCACTAAACCCCATACAATATAATATACAACAATCCGCGTAAAATCCCGAGTATCAAGAATCACAACGTCACCAGCCATATCACTCAATCACTCAGCCACCCAATTGGATCTAAAGCCTCATCCATAAATCCTCATCTCAAATCCCTCAAGTCCCTCAAATCCCATTAAATTCTTTCTCTCCACCCCTCCCCTCTCCCTTTCAAAAGACTCTCTTATTATTACATTTTTATTCTACTCTTCTACTCACCTACTCTTCTACTCAAATTAAAACATATCTAAAATATAAAACAGAGGATCTTATTACTCGTATCTCTGGATCTGAGTTTATTTTATAGATTTCTCTTAAATTCTACTATTATCTCCCTTCTTATTCCCTTCTTTTCTTTTCAATAACATATTGATAATAATAACAATCATAGAAATTACAAAAATAAATTTCATTTCAAGATCAAATTCTAAAAGTACGCTTCAAGACTAATTACTAGAACGAATAAGTACTAGATAAGTCTAACTTTAAAGATTACTTCTTAAAACTAATTATTTATTTATTTTATTCTGATATAATTTTATTATATTATTCTGCTCTAGATATTATATATTATATAAAACTTAAACTTGATATAAAAAATATACAATGTAAATAGATAATCTTTTAATCTTACTTTTTCTCTTATTTTTATTCTTATTAATTTTACTATCTTCTATTTATTATCTATTATATTATATCATATTCTAATTATTTATACTCATATCTCATTTACTATCTATATTACAATCTACTTATATTTCAATCTTAGTTTATTTAAATTCTGTTTATTATCTATTATATTTATATTTAATTATATTCATTTATACTTATCTATATTTTATATTATCTAAATATTATTCAGATTTATATCTTATATATTATTCATATTATAATCTACTCACATTTTACTCTCAGCCCTCTGTTCTATTCTATCCTATTCAAATCCTATATAAATTCTACTTATTATCTATTTATTTATCATCTATTATCTATTTATTATCTATCTATTATCTACTTTATTCATATCTATAATCCCCCCCCTCTTTTTTTTTATCGAATCAGCTCTTTCTAATCTCAACCTCTTAATCTTCTAATTCAAATATTAATTATATTTTATATTTTATATTTTATATCTTATATCTTATATTCTATTTATAGTTTACCTATTACTCAAATTTAAATCTAAATCCAAATCCAAATCTAAATCTAATTTTAAAGTTGATTTCTAAGTTCTAATTCTGGTTCTAATTTGATTAATTATATTAACTATATATTTATTATATATTTCCTTATATACCTATCTTATTTATATCTATATTAATATTCATACTCATATTCACATTCTCCTCCCCTCGTATATCAGATTAGCTCTTTTAAATACCAACTAAAATATCAATCTAAATACTATCTCAGACCCCCCCCCCCGCTCTCAAATCCAATTCTCAAACCCCTATTCTATCCTATCCTATCTATTCTATTCTATTCTATTCTATCCTATTCTATCCTATCCTATTCTATCCTATCCTATTCTATCCTATCCTATCCTATTCTATCCTATCCTATTCTATCCTATCCCATCCCATCCCATCCCATCCTACCCACTCTCACCACCAAACCACTCCAATAAATCAAAAAAAACTCAACAACCAACCCATCATCTATTCTATTTCCCTCTACACTCCACTCCACTCTACGCCATAGCCTATCCCATCCTATTTTATAACTTCTAATCCATTCTATCCCATCATCACACACATACACACACTCTCTCTCTCTCCTCCTCTCTCTTTCTCCACACTCCACCCCCAACCAAACCCAACCCAATCCCTCGAGCGCAGCGAGCCACGGGGGTTTGGGGGCTTGCCCCCATCAACGATCGCATATTATAATTCTGTATAAAAAGTAAGATCTATTGATATCTATTTAGGTATTTGAATCTGATGTTTAGAAATAGAAATAGAAATAGAAATAGAAATAGAAATAAAATTAAAGATAAAATTAAAGATAAAATTAAAGATAAAATTAAAGATAAAATTAAAAAATATAAGAAAGATATAAGAAAGATATAAGAAAGATATAAGAAAGATATAAGAAAGATATAAGAAAGATATAAGAAAGATATAAGAAAGATATATAATATAAAAAGTTAGAAATAGATATATATATATAAAGATAATAGTAAAACAATAAATTATTATAGAATAATAGTACTATAGAATAATAGTATTATAGAATAACAGTATTACAGAATAATATTATTATAGAATAATAGTATTACAGTCTACTAATCAAACAAAGACTCTTATTCCTAATATTTTTTTTAAAAAAAAAGAAAGAAATGTTTTATTTCCCTTCCCTGCCCTTCCCTTCTCTTCCCTTTCCTTTCCAATCCAATCCCCATTAAAACTCTTCTCTCATTCAGACTCCCCCTTCCTCATACACAAATCAACAATCAAGTCTATAACCTCCAACTTCTATTCTCAGAGAAATCACAACATAGTGTGAAACAAATAAACTCCACCCAGTCCATCCCATCAAGCGCTCTCTCCATGCCTTCCCTCCCCCCTAATCCCCCTTCCCTAACCTCCCCAAACCCCAAATCCCTAATCTCTCTTCCCATCCCCCCTCCCACTCCCACCCCCCACAAACCCCCATCCATTCCCTACCGCTCCACCACCACCACCTCCAAACCCACCCCCCTTAACCCCATACCCCAACGGCGTCGCCCCACCCAAACCCTTACTATTCGCGCCTCCCAACCCCCCCACCCTCGCCAACCTCCCACTCCACCCCCTCATCCTCCTCGGAACCTCCCACCCTACCATCCAAGCCCCCATCACCGTAGCTCCGGCTCCAAACGCTACAATGACATATCCGATCGTCATCCAATTCACATGACCCCCTAGCCCATTCCATTCTACCTTTCCATTTTCTCTCGGGAGTAATGGGGTTGGAAACCAACGAATACTCAATTTAAGAGGTAATTCATCTCCAATAATAAGTTTTTTAGTAAGAGCGGCTGGACCCGTAATGTGACTTAAAGGACTCGTACTATATGCTACTCCACTGTCGATTACACCCGAATCATGTTTTTGAAGATGATGTTTTGGGACGCTATGAAGAAGAACATTTAGGTGAGTGGAGATATGAAGGTGGGAGAGTTGTAATGTTCCTGAGAGAGCGAAGGTGAGAGGAATATATTCTTGTTTATAATTTGGATAGCTGTTCATGTGATGAACAGTGGGTGCGGGTCGAGAAGGAATTCGACAGGAGAGAGGTGCATCGGAATGAATATAAAATTCGAGAAGATGAAAGAAAGGATCTGTTATCAAAGGAATTGTACAATTGAGTTCTATATTTGAGGGAATAGTCAGTATGTGATCAATTTTCTAATAAAACGAAATGAGAATTAAAACATACCTTCTTCAACTCCATATTTTAATTCCAATGGTCTTCCCGTTTCATTACATATCGGAAATGGTATGTATTTTAAAGAATTGTCCTCTAGTTGAACATGTTCTCCTGTATCGCTAATTGAAAAGTTAGCTTTTATTTCTTAAATTCTCATCCTCAATCTTTTGCTTTCTCTTCATGCAAAATTCCTCAAAAAGCTCTCGAGATCCATATATTTGAATCTGCTCATAATCCATTCGGTATTTCGACCATGTTCTTCGGCACACACACATAATTCGTATTCGCGCACATTTCGGAGCTGCATCCTCATCCTCGCATATCCATCAATATCTTCCTCTCCTCTCTCCACTCTCTAAATCTCTCATCTGCTCTTCCTCTTTTCTCATATCCTCTGCTTCTCTTTTTCTCCTTTTCCCCTTTCCATCTCTCCGATACCCAATCCATTATAATATTCTGCGAATCGCGTGCGTTCGTATCGTTGCAACTGTATGTGTGCCGAAGACTTCCCCTCCTCTTCCCTTTTCTTTACCACTCAAATTTCCAATCCTCCTCGCACAAACCCTCCACCCTCCCCTTCTTTCCTCCCTCTCTCCAAAAGCCCAAATCATACAAAACAAGAAAAACAAGACTTACACATCCCTCTCCATACACTCGACCTCAATCCCTGCCCCAAAATGATAACTCGGCAAAGGCAACCTCTCCTCATCCTTCTCCACCCCTTCCAATCCTTTATCTCCCCTCTCCGTCTCTAGCGCAAGTACACCTCCTCCCCAAATCCCCATCCCAATTGCCAACCAATTAACCACGCGCATATTTGTTATTTTTTCTCGTTATTTCCTTTCCTCCTCTCGTTTCGTCTTTCTTTCGATGTTTCTTTCGATGTTTCTTCCCTCTTCCCTTTTCCTTATCTCTCCCTTTATAAAACTTCGCAATCCCGCAATCTCGCAGTCCAGTAACCTCGTCGCCTTAACTAATCCCGTATCTCAAACCGTAATCTTTGCTCTCTGCGCTTTGCGCTTTGCGTTTCCCTTCCAATCCCAATCTCAAGTCCACTTCCAATTCCAATCCTAATCCCTTCAATCCCTTCAATATTGAATCCCGATCCCCCCAATCCCTTCAATCTCAACTCCCCCCGTTCAATATTAGATCGAATTCCTTACTCGTAGCTTGTACTCGTAGCTCGTCGCCCGTTCTTAATCTCGTAGCTCGTAGCTTGTCCTCGTAGCTCGTTGCCCGTTCTCGTTCTTACTCTCGTTCTCCTACCCGTCACAATCCCAATCGCAATCGCAATCGCAATCGCAATCCCTTCCTTTCCCTCAAATCCCTTCCCTCAAATCCCAAATCTTTCCAAATACCCTCTCACGTCCTCAAATTCCCTATCCTTCCTTTCCTTCCCTTCCCTTCCTTTCCTTCCCTTCCTTTCCTTCCCTTCCTTTCCTTCCCTTCCTTTCCTTCCCTTCCTTTCCTTCCCTTCCTTTCCTTTCCTTCCCTTTCCTTCCCTTTCCTTCCCTTTCCTTCCCTTTCCTTCCCAATCAAATCAACCCAAATCAACCCAAATCAACCCAAATCAACCCAAATCAACCCAAATCAACCCAACCCAATTCAATCAAACCAAACCAACCAATCAACCACAATCGCACAACAAAGTCCCAATCGCAATCGCTATTATCACAAGATAGATTAATTAATTCCCTTGAAATCACAACCGGCCGCAGTTACAATGACAATCACAATCACAATGACAATGACAATCACAATCCCGATAATCTAATCCAATCTGATCTGACCCAAATTGAACCAAATTGAACCAAATTGAACGAAATAATCAGAACTGAACACTTTGCATCATCAAAAAAAGTTAAGCTCTCCAATTAATCCGCATCCATCCTCCATTACTGATTAGGCATGGGTTGTCATGCAGGAGGTAAAATAAAGTTTACGCTAGCGGCCGCTGTCATCCCACCTTTTTCCAAGATGGGATGAGAAGGATGTTCATTCATTTATTACCAAAGTCACCGGGAAACTTTAATACTTCAAAAATGATTTGATATTCATATTCATTCATTTCATAACCGTATCATATCTTTAACTAATCAACCATCATTCATTCATTCATCCATATTCATTCAAATATCCAGATGCAAATTCATCTCCTCATCCTATTTTTTATTTCCCCCCCCCATTTTACTATATCGAGAAAATCCTTTGCCTTCCGTTCTCATTTCACGATTACCACATCCTGATTATCCCATAGCTTTTCCCCATCACTTCCAGTTCTCATTTAGATGTTAGACTTCTTCTTGAAAGCAGCAATCAATCCTCCAGTACTGCTATCATGCTCTCCAACATTACCACTAACATCTAACTCGGCTTGAATCTTCTTAGCCAAGCTCTTACCCAGCTCAACACCCCATTGATCGAAACTGTTGATGTTCCAGACAGCTCCCTCAGTGAAGGTGAGATGTTCGTAGTAAACAATCAAAGCACCAAGAGTACCTGGGGTAATCTTTTGGGCGAGGATTGATGTGGTTGGTCTGTTACCCAAGAATGTCTTGTGCTTGTATAATTCAGCTGGGGTGTTCTCAGCCTTGAGTTCATCTTCTCCTTTTCCAATCATGAGAGCTTCAGCTTGAGCGAAGAAGTTTGATGCCAACATCTTTTGGTGCTTGTTGTTATCGATTGGGTTGTGTGATTCAGCGGCCATGATGAAGTCGGTTGGGATCAACTTAGTACCTTGGTGTACAAGTTGGAAGAAAGAGTGTTGGGCGTTTGTAGCTGGTTCACCAAAGAGAATTGGACCAGTTGTGTACTTGACAATCTTTCCATCACGAGAGACAGCCTTACCGTTAGATTCCATAGAAAGTTGTTGAAGGTAAGCTGGGAATCTGTGGAGGTATTGATCGAAACTGTTTGTTTCAATTAGCCATATGCAAGAAGAGCTTAGATAGATAAAACTTACGGAGAAACCAAATGAGTTTGAGCACCAAAGAAATCAGAATACCAAACACTCAAGAGACCAGCAATAACCGGAATGTTCTCCTCGAGTGGAGTGTTCTTGAAATGCATATCCATAGCATGTGCTCCAGACAACAACTCGTGGAAATTCTTGAATCCAATGTGAATAGCAACACTCAAACCAATTGCACTCCAAACACTGTATCTACCTCCGACCCAACTTTCGAAACCAAACATGTTCTTAGCATCAATACCAAACTTGGTAACTTCGGCTTCGTTGGTAGAGAGAGCAACAAAGTGTTTAGCAATGTCACCCTTTCCATCAGTCTTCTTCAAGAACCATTCCTTTGCGGAGTTGGCATTGGTGACAGTCTCTGCAGTAGTGAAAGTCTTGGAAGCAACCAAGAAAAGAGTAGTTTCTGGATCAGAATCTCTCAATGCCTCAGCCATGTGTGTACCATCAATGTTAGAAACGAAGTGAAGGGTTTGTTCTCTAGCGCCATAGTACTTGAGAGCTTCAGTAACCATAACTGGACCACTATAATCGAATTAGCTATGGACGCACTGGGTATGCCACCAAACTTACAGATCAGAACCACCAATACCAATGTTGATAATGGTAGTCAAAGGCTTTCCAGTGTAACCCTTCCACTCTCCACTTCTAATTTGTTCCGAGAATTCCTCCATGTGCTTCAATTCCTTGTTGACACCTGGCATAACATCCTTTCCATCCACGTTGATTGGATCACTAGTCACATTTCTCAATGCAACGTGAAGAACAGCACGATCTTCAGTGAAGTTGATTTTCTCACCCGCAAACATCTCATCGCGCAATTTCTCCAATCCAGCTTCTTTTGCAACAGCCACCAATGCCTTGATTGTATCTTCATTGATCAAATTCTTGGAGAAATCAAAGAGAATCTCCGAGTTGTCGGCAGTGTTCTTGAAGGTTTTGGAAAATTTCTCGAATCGTTGAGGGTCCTTTTTGAATTCATCCTTGAGGACAAAGTTACGGCCAACATTGTCATGGTGAGATTGGAGAGCACTCCATGCTTTGAGTTCGGTTGCTTGAGGCATATTGTAGAGTTTTCTTTGAGTTGTTGATTATCAGGTTTAGGGGGAACTATGGAGAATAAAGTTAGAATGGAGGTAAGAATATTAGATGATGATGGGTGATGAGTGATGGGTATTTGACAATCTTCAAAAGGTTCTTGTAGATATATCTCCAAATGACGAGTTCAACAGCAAGAGAGAAAAGAGAAACGCATACCTTTATATTCCCTCTTTAGCAATAAATTGTCCGAAAAGACAAGAGAGGTATTCCTAGTATCTCCGAAAGGTCTGCAAATAGAATGGCTTTGATATCTTGTCAGTTGAGAGCTTCTTAAGATAGATTGAATAATCCAGAAGAAATGGAGATGGAGATGGAAGAATATGTGTTTAGTTTAGAATAGGAGTAGACGGAAGGAATAATATCAACGGAATCTCTCTCTCTCTCTCTCTGTCTTTCGACTCTGGAAACTTCGGTCGGTCGAATGTTGTGTAGGTGGGTGGGGTGGGGTTAAAGCAGTGACACAACACCATTCAATCATTCATCCAGATTGAATGAATTCTTGGGAGGTTGAGAGGTTGAGAGGTTGAGAGGAGAGAATATCAACATACCTTTCTTTACTTGATAGAGATTCAATGTATACAGATATTAGATATGTGTATGTTTGTATATTTGTATATATGTTTGTATGTAACTGAGTATGTACGATACTCGTAAGTATATAAATATGAGATTCCCAAAAAAGAGGGAAAAAAGGAGGGGTTCATGCAAGCTCTTCTTCTATCGTACGGACTCGGAACAACAAGCAGCAACAACAAATAAAATCCAATAAATGGCTTATGACGTCCATGTCCATGTCCATGTCCATGTCCATTGTCCATACCAATCCAACCTAGGAAATCCATAACCATAATCCATCATCCATCATCCATCATCCATCATCATTCCCCCCAACCACTCAATTACGACCAATAGCCAAGTCGAGACACTCACGCTAATGGTGGGATAAATAAGAAGTGAGAGGGAGATGCAGCGGAGTGAGAGACCTGAGTACATTTTGATTGATTGATTGATTGATTGATTGATTGATTGATTGATTGATTGATTGATTGATTGATTGATTGATTGATTGATTGATCTGTTCATCCATTTACTCCTCAGGGTAATCTTCTCAAGGTAATCTTCTCAGGGTAATCTATCCATCCAACTTTTACAATCAATCTACCTATACAGAGAGTACCAGTAAAGGTAGATTCAAAATCAGATAGCTACTCATTCCCTCCCCTCCCCTCCCTTCATCCTCTCTTTTTCCTCCCTCCTCTCCTCTCTCTCCCCATCCCCAAACAAAAATAACCTCACAACCAACCTCCATCAAAAATCAACCCCCCTACATCCATCACTTCGTACCCTTCATACCCTTCATACCCATTAAGCAAATCCCAACTCCAGCTCACTCCAGTCTAGACCCTCTCTCTCTCGGTGAATCCCAAAAAAGCATAGAACATCAATCCCAAATCAAATCCAAACCCAATCCCAAAAAATAAAATCCGAAAAAGATCGGATCGGAACAAATCCTTCTTTTCTTCTATCCACATCCACCAACTAGATAAATCGGGTACCCTACTTTCTGGCCACCCCTGTTTTGGGCCACCCTTTTACACCAAAAATCACTTTTTTAGCCTATTAATATCTTTATCAATATATAATATAATTTGATAAAAATTTATATATATATAATTTAAATCGATTTAAGTCTATTCTGAAATTTTTAGAATTTTAGGATTTTTCTATATTGAGATTTAAAATTTCAAAATATTAGTTTTTTAATTTATATAAAAATTATATATAAATTTAGAAATTTTATAAAATCTTTAATAACTTTTTAATAACAATTATTAAAACAAAACTATATATATTTTTGAAACTTTTGAATTTAAATCTATATAGAAATTTTAAAAAAAAATTAAAAAAAATTAACAAATATAGAAACATAATATACAATAAGTTTAGAATAATATAAATAATCCTTGTTATTTTGAGAATATCCTTTTAAATATTTATTTAAAAGAAATTTTCTATTTTTTCTAGATCTATTAGATTAAACATACTATAAATTTATAATAAAAATTTATAATTTATTTTTAACCATTTTTATTAGAAAGTTATTAGAGATTTTATAAAAGTTTCAAATTTGTATAGGATTCTTATATAAATTTGAAAATCGATATTTTGAAGCTCTAGATCTCAATACAGAAAAATCCTAAAAATCTGAAAATTTTAGAATAAATTTAGATCGATCTAAATTATATATATATAAATTTTCAATAAATTCTATTCATAAATAAGAAAGTTAAAAATTCCATTTTTGGTATAAAAAGTGGCCTAAAAGGGGGGTGGCCAGAAAGTGGGGTACTCGACTTATGTACTAGCTAGGGAATCAGCTCTCAATCTTACATAAGCGACCGCCCTCAACTCCATAGCCCGACTCGCCGACTATCATTACCTACCGAGCCGAGCGAGCCTCTACGTAAGCTAAAAAACAGGCGGAAATTGAGTACTCTTTCAAAGGTATTTTTTAATAGATTATAAATTCATTTCAAATTGAATGTTGGAATTTGAAAAAAGCAAACGAAAATTTGAGTCTTGTTTATATTGAAACCAAGTGTTTTTATTATTTGATATTAGAGTTAAAAAGAAATCTTAGTTGTTGAAGGTCTTTCGAATGATAATCAATTCCCGCCTGTTTTTTTGCTTATGTAGAGCGAGCCTACCTACTTCGTAGTCTCCTAGTATCATTATCATTATTATTACCTATCAACCAACCAACCAACCAACCTACCTACATACCTACATACCTACATACCTATATAAAAATATCCATTCATGTATAAAAGCACATCATATTCTCACATTCTCACATTCTCACATTCTCACATTCTCATATTCTCACATTCTCATATCCCATTCTCACATTCTCACATCCCATTCTCTCATCACATCCCATTCTCACATCCCATCCCAATGACAACTAGGTAGTATCTAGGTAGGTAATTGACGAAGAAACAAATACTTCGATTTTCAAATGGAAAGAAGTTCGAACCCTCTTTCGTCCTTCCTTCCTTCCTTTCTATCAAACCCACATACCCACCCACCTGTCCATAACAAAGTGCTTTCGTAACGCCTCTACTCTGCTCTACTCTGCTCTACTCTGCTCTCATGTGATTCCCCAACACTAATTTCAGTGCCGAAGAACAATACAAAAACAACGAATATCCATTTTCATATAACTTCTCATCTCATCTTATCGGATAATATTCTTAGAATTTGTTCGTGAAGAAGAGAAACCACTCCAACCCTCAATCTGTATGCGAATTGCTATCTGGAGAGAAAAGACGCCCGAGTAAAGTTGAAGTCATATCATCATACCACTGGTCATTTCCAGAATTCCAGTTCCCTTTTTCCCTGACTTTCATCCATCTATCTATCCTGTACACTTCCTACGAAACTTGGATCTTTGATACTTCCGCCTCCATCTCCCAATCCTGCAACCGGTCTGTTGTAAGACCATCCAGTAAATTGTTCTTGCATGGTTGATGACAATTGTCCGCCTTCTACCAATGAATCGGCTGGTGCTTGGGAGGTAAATTCCACATCAAAGTTGGTGGTATCAAGAGCATCCGTCTATATGTCATTAGTATATTGCACGTAAACATTTGAAAGAATAAAACAAAATACATACCACGTTAGGTTTGAATGTAGGCTCATACTTTCTCTGGAGTAACTTTCGCCAATCAATACTGTGGAAGAAAGGATGGGCCTTAATTTCCGATGCACCATTTGCACCCAATCTTAGATCTGGTTTTCTGTTGAGAAGTTTCTGCAAAAGATCCTTCGCAGCAGGTGGAACAATTTCAGGACCAGGGAAGTTCAATGGATCGCTCAGAATCTTGCGATACATCTCATTGGTATTCTCATCATAGAAAGGAGGTAAACCAGTCAACATCTCATAGAGCAAAACACCAAGGGTCCACCAATCAACCGTCTTAGTGTAACCTTGTCCCATCAACAATTCTGGTGCCAAGTATTCGGGAGTTCCACAGAAGGTGTTGGTGCGATCCTCATCCTTCATGTCAAGTTTACACAAGCCAAAATCACAAAGTGCAATGTGACCCGAGTAATCCAAAAGAATGTTCTCTGGTTTCAAGTCACGATAAATGACGTTGAAACCATGTAAACATTCTAAAGCGCAAAGGAGTTCGGCTGTGTAAAATCTTGAACGATTGATGTCGAAGCGAGATTCCTTTTGAAGATGATGGAAAAGTTCACCACCGTTGACAAATGCCAAGACGAAATATAACTTTTCGGGTGATTGGAAAGTAAACTTGAGAGGAACGATGAATGGATTGTTGATTTGAGAAAGGACCGATCTTTCTGCCAACGTGTGTGCGACTTCTGATCGTGAAATAATGTGAGCTTTTCGAATGGTCTTAAGGGCGTAAATTCGTTGGGTATCTTTTTTCTTGACTTGCATGACCTTTCCAAAACTTCCTTTTCCAACCACTTTCAAAAGGTCGAAATCTTCAATCTTCAATGCTCTTGTTCTATTCTCAACATATTCCACTCCAATGCGAATCTTTCCAGTACCATATTGAACGTCCAACCATTCCGGTCCACTCTGTCCCAATGTGCTCTCTCTTCTTTGAAATTCTGCAGCGGCCTTTTCCTTGTCTTTTTTTCCCAACTTGGGGTCTTCGACGTATTTGTGCTTTTCTTCGAATCGAGGGTTGATGCGCGTAACACCAAGGAAAATATCTTGACTTCGACCAGATCCCGGAGGCGCATTTGGGTTTCGAAGATATAGATGAACTGCTAATTCGGTAACTCTTGAAACATCAAACTTATATTGAGTATTATCTCCAGCCCATAGGGGGTTTTCAGGGGACCCTGCAACTGAATTGACAAAAACTTGCATCTTATCGAAATCTAACAAGGCATATGGAAGGTATTTGGAGGAGATACGTCCATGGTTAGTAGGAACTTGAATTCCACCTCCAGATGTTTGTGGTCTCATATTCGAATAAGATCCCGCGACTTGGTTTGAAGCCCCGGAACGTACTGAACCTGCAACTCCAAAGCCATTTCCCGCAGATAATGAATTCTGTGTATGATTGCTGAAGACTTGTTTATATTGATCTGGTAGAGAGAATCCACTTCCTTCGTGAAGAGTAACGATGAGAATACCCGGCCGAGGAGCGGATTGTGGTTGAGTGGCTATGGCTTCGGACGCAGCTTTTGAGGTCAGTATACTTTTCGTGAACCAGATTAACGATGTGCGCATACCTATTCCATTATCGTTGATAGATGGTGCCGGACTTGATGAGCCAGATTTCTCATCTTTGGATGATTCCCTCAGAGTTTGTGAAGATGGGGTTCGAGAGAAGGTAGACGTTAGGGGACCAAGATGCGTCTCTTTGAGCTCTAAAAATGGATAGAGATAATTAGTGACAAGTCCAATTCATGTGCTCGCTTTTGACGATTTAAAGCTCAATAGACTTCTCCGAAGTGACGTTGGGTTGGTAGCCAGCAATAAGATTTAGCTCAAGGGGGTAGATCTGAGTGGTTTCAAGATTGACCTGGAATGAATTATAAATGAATTTAACTCACTCTTGGTGATATTCCAAGACGACATCTTGGGGATGGGGAACAAAATTGTATCGGTAGGAGAGGGGGACGAAGGAAGAAGGATAAGTTGTAGGATTCTAGGGAATGAGATTGTAATTGATGTTGTATGTTGGGTGATGGTAGATGGTAGATGGTAGATGGTAGGTGGTGGGTGGTGGGTGGTAATGAATGAGGAGTAAAGTAGATATCGGGATTTCTTCGAGGGATTGACAGTAAAGTGTTCGTTCAGTGCGTTGCGGTCAGGATTTAGCTTCAAACAAGTGCTCACAGGCGATTGCCCCGCCAAAATAGATTGATTGTCAAGGCAAATACAAATACTCGCAATTAATTGATTGATACGATTCGATGGACCGAAGGGATCATGAAGAGAGTGAGTGAGTAATATAATATAAGTGAGTGATATTGATATTGAACGAGTGAACCTTTATAAATCCAGTCGTGGTCGTGTATCAAGAGTAGAATGAGAGGTTGAATGAGAGGTTGAATGAGAGGTTGAATGAATGCGTCTCTATATCAATCAATATGGGGGAATCAAGTAATGGGATTTTGGGTAATTCTTCTTCTTCTCCTCCTTCTCTCTTGTTGCTTTGGATGTTTTTATGTTTCACTACCTAGGTACTCTGCGCGATGAAAGCTTCTCAAGATGTCAAAATAACATACATGTCTCTCAAACTCTCTCTCAATGTTTGTGTTTGACTAGGGAGGGCAGCATTTGTAAGGGGGCGATTTTCAATGTAACATGGCTACTCTCTCCAAGCCATGTTTTCGAGGGGGCTTAGAATCACGATAAAATGAGTGAGTGGCTTAGTAGCAAGTACCAGCCAGTATGGACTAGATATATATGAAATATGAAACTCTTCTTTCCCTTTTCGATTTGATTCTGGTAAAACAAATCATCATCTACCTCAGGACTTCGGGACATAGGGCTATTCCAATATGTCTCTCCTCGAATTTTGGGCTTCAATGATCGATGGATAGATAAATTGATAACCGTCTCTTCAGTCACGTGCAAGTGCCATCTACTATCATTTTCTCAGGTTCTCAGGTTCTCTGTAACAGCAACGTGGGCGGGGCGGCCATTTGCCTAAACTCCGAAAATTCTTGATAACAGGATCCGATAAGGACGGCCGTCTATTGTTTGATGGGCCAAGTTTCAAGTACACCTGGGCATCCAGAGCATATACTTGTACATCACAAGCTCGTACACGAAAATACCAAAAAATTGATGTGGTAGAAAATGCATTGTAAAATCAACTATGATCGTATGTCGAGCACAGAAATCTTCACATTCTTCTCGTACCTAGGGTACCTAGTAGATAACGAAATGAAATCAACCTCAACATACACAAGAGGGGATCCTCGATATATAATTTTCAAGATGTCTACTATTGTACGATAGTACCCAGGTAGTATTAGTAATAACCGGGAATGGATAACAAAATATTCAGCCTCACTGATTTATGTGGCTGGTGCCTCTAATCTGGTTTAGCCAGTCACTGCCCAGGTGATCCTCGACCGTAGCCTTGTCGAGCCACATCTGTAATGTACCCACTCTTGGAACCTCATCGCATTGATCGAACTACCGTTCACAGAATCATCAACACCGTAACAACTTTAATACTTCTTATTAATTTGAGGAATCATTCCATCAAAGAATTACTGCACTCATTCAATCACGATACAATTTAATCTAGAAACAATCCTCAATCCTGTCGTCTCCATTCGTTGGTCAATCGTGGCGCAAAGTAAATATTCACAACCACCTTGACAATGGGGATCATTCGCAAGAAGACGGCAATGAGAGGGGGTGAAGGTGGTGTTAAATACGTCTGTGATATATGTTCAGCAGATGTCACGAATACTGTATTTACTTTTTATCAATACCCGATCTGTCGCTCCGCGAAATTGGCCCAATAGCTAACTCTCTCCCCAATTATAGGTCCGAATTCGATGCGCCCACTCTGCTTGCAATGAATACGACCTATGTGTACAATGTTTCTCCGACGGCAAATCCTCCTCACAGCATCAACCTGCTACTCACCCATTTAGAGTTATTGAACAAAACTCCGTGCCAATTTATGAACCAGATTGGGGGGCTGATGAAGAGCTACTATTATTGGAAGGGTGTGAGATATATGGATTGGGTTCTTGGGCAGATATTGCAGATCATATTGGAGGGTTCCGAACTAAAGACGAGGTTCGAGATCATTACAAGAAGGTCTACTTGGATAGTCCAAAATTTCCACTACCAAAACGAGCTAGTCCACATGATACAGAGTTGATGGACGCGTTGCCTCGAGACGAATTCCAAGCTCGAAAGAAGGCACGAATAGAGAAGAGAAAAGAGGCAGCTAAAAATCAACCCCCACCGCAACCAAAAAAGAAGCCCACGGCTAGTGTTCCGTCATGTCACGATATTCAAGGTTATATGCCTGGTCGTCTGGAGTTCGAGACCGAATATGCAAATGAAGCAGAAGAGGCCGTTCAGTTAATGTCATTTGAACCTGGTGATGGAATTAATCCTACTACTGGAAAGGTGGAACCGGAATTCGAGCTCAAAATGACAGTGATGAACATTTACAACCAGCGGTTAACCCAACGAGCCGATCGTAAAAAGGTCATATTTGAACATAACCTTCTGGAATATCGCAAAGCAGTTGCTCTTGATAAAAAGCGTACAAAGGAAGAAAGAGATCTTCTTACTCGTACAAAACCTTTCGCGAGAATGATGAATCATGATGATTATGAAGAATTCTCAAAAGGTCTCATTGATGAGCTAAACCTACGACTAGCAGTTTCTCAATTGCAAGAGTGGAGAACAATGAGGATTGGAGACCTCAAAAGCGGAGAGAAATACGAACAGGATAAGCAACAGAGAGCCCATAAGGCACAACCTATGGGTAGTATGGATCGTGAACGATACGCCGCAGGTACAAAGAACAAACCTCCTGCCGTTGAAACTCCAAGTGGTGCAGCTGCGTTGGTTGCTCCTGAATTACCGGATTCTATCCTCAAATCGGAGCCAAACGATGACAAAGAAAACTTGATGAATGGTAACGGTTCTCTCACAAATGGAATTAAACAACAATCCCCTGTTATTAAACGTGAACCAATACAAGTTCAACCTCTCTCTACAATTACACCATTACCGCTCAACCCATCATCTACTCCCGATTATCATCTTTTGACACCTGGGGAAATTGATCTTTGTGAAAAGACTCGATTAAATCCAAAACCATATCTGGTGATCAAAGAAGCGATTTTGAAAGAGGCAGTAAAGGGAGATGGAAAGTTGAAGCGGAAAATGGTCAAGGAGATTGCGAGAGTGGAAGGAGCAAAGGGTGGGAAGATTTTTGATTTCTTCTTGCACGTTGGTTGGGTCGGGAAAGCGTAGGGAATTTTACCAATTTTCATTGCATGATGAAGGAGTTAGTACGGTCATTACGAATAGTCTATTGGAGGTGGGAAAGGGAGCAAACTTTCATGAACGGTGTTTAGGATGGGAATGGGCAAGTGTCTTTCAGCGTTTATGGAGGGGACTGATTTCAAAAGAGCTTTCTTGCTGTTCTTCCTCACAATCGGTTAGGTGCTTGGGGATACAAGGAAAAACCTTTTGAGGAGAGGTAGTGGCTTTTGCAAAGGTCGTTTTTATGATGCATAGCGTAGCTAGGTTTTGATTGGTGTTTGAGAGGAATGAATTTCATGGTATGGAGCAAATGGATTGGATTGGATTGGAGTTTTACTTTTGGTCTTGGCAGTCGAGATAGATCGAAATGGTACATGGATGAGGATGGGAATACTTAATAATCAGGATACGCATGAATGTCTCTGGCGTCATGATATTCTGAGCAGGGTGTATTCATCAGCGCTGGTTTTTGGTTTTCCTATACTAGACAGCGGGTTTATGAGAGATGGCGATGCTGTAATATAGAAGCGGGAAGAGTGGAGATGAAGATTGGGCTGGGTTAGGTTGGGTTGAGGGTTGTAGATATACGTATCGTCTCGTATTGCGTTGTATAGAATATATAACTTTGCTATGAGATGGTTGGCGCGATGGTGATGTGATGTGGTGATATGATGTAATGTATTGAAGATGTAATAATAATGTAATGTTGATATCAAATAAAGATTACAAAATGAAATCTTTAATAGAGGGGTATTGATGTAATATACTGCTTGTGATGTGATGCATGTATATGCGTATATGTATGTATATATCTACAAGGTAGATAATTTGTTTATGAAATTGATAGAGATGTGTTTGGTGTTTATATTTGTATAGGGAGTGGGGAGTGAGGAGTTAGGAGTGAGGAGTGAGGAGTGAAGAGTAAGGAATGAGGAGTAAGGTGTGAGAAGTGAGGGTGTAGTGTGTATATGTGTATATGTGTGTATGTGTGTATGTGTATATGTGTATATATATATATATATATATATATATGTATGTATATGTATGTATATGTATATATATATATGTGTGTGTATGTGTGTATGTGTGTATGTGTGTATGTGTGTATGTGTGTATGTGTGTATGTGTGTATGTGTGTGTGTGTGTATGTGTGTATGATGAGGATTTTGTATGTGTAGTATATCAGGTAATATATATGGATTTAAATGTTAATTCGGAATGTAATTGTATGGTTGGGGTAATATATGTAGGGTAGATTGTGTGTGTGTGTGTGTGTGTGTGTGTGGTGTGTATGGAAGTTTATAGAGAGGGAAAAGGGGCGAATGCGGGGGGAAGGGGAAGAAGAGGGAATAAAAGAAGTTTAAGCGATAGGGAGAGGGAGAAGGAATGAGAGGGAAAGAGATAAGAAACGAAGGGGATGAGGGAGAGGAAAGGGAAAGGGGAAAAGAGGAATTAGAATATTAAGATGTTGATCTAGATGATTAGTATCTTCTGATTCTGATTGTGAGGAGGGAAGAGGAGGGAAGAAGAAAAAGGAATTCTAGTATACTGTACTTGGCGGAGAGAGCAGAGAATAGGATAAAAGAAGACAAGAGAGGATACAATAAAAGAAGATAGGTGCAAGGAGCAAGAGAAAGGAAGCGAGATAAAATGAGCCGAGGAAAAGTATAATCAAATGAGATAAAAGTAAGAAGTGAGGATGAGAAGTGAGGATGATAAGTGAGGATGATAAGTGAGGATGAGAAGTAAGGATGAGATGAGAGTAAAAAGTGAGGATAAGAGGTAAGGTATATATGTATGTACACATTAGTGACTTTTCGAGAGCTGGAATATAGATCAAGACTTAGATTAAGATTACGATTGATATTAATATTAAAATCCATAATATATATTTCATACTTTTTACTTTAGACTTTTTATTATATACTTTTTGCTTTATATTTTATATTAATACTTTATATCTTATAATATATATATACATATATATATATAGATAGATAGATAAATAGATAAATAAATAGATAAATAGATAAATAGATAAATAGATAAATAGATAAATAGATAAATAGATAAATAGATAAATAGATAAATAAATAAATAAATAAATAGATAGATAGATAGATAGATAGATAGATAGATAGATAGATAGATAGATAGATAAATAAATAAATAGATAGATATATATATATCTAGTCAATTCGAACCGATCTATATATGATTCTGAGGGAATCTATTAATGGCGATGCTATATGAGTAGCATCTGGGAATGAAAATGAGATCTAGGAATGAGATTGGGATTTAGTAGTGAGAGTTGACGATTTTATATTTATTTTATCGAAATAATAAACGATGAAGTCATTCATTTGTCTTATCCTGTTGTATACAATAGTCTAGATGTATACATATGAATACACATCTGAATTTATTGAAATGAATGTATATTTATAGGCTTATAGGTTTGTATTATTTAATAGATGGGTTTTTAGAGGATATTAATACTAAATAATAGATTTATTGAGATGGATATTGAGATATAATGAGATGATAGAATATAGTAACGTCTTGATATAATGATTAGTATATAACGAGGAATTATATTTACTTTTAAGACATTTTTTGTTTGAGAATGATAATGATGATGAATATATACATATTGAGAGAATCTGAGAGATGAATAATTATATATCTCTAATCATCTCACACTATAGGATTACATTTTACATTGTTTTTTTACAAGTAATATATTCATTCCAGGTGCGTTCTAGATCATGATAAGAGCATTCTAGATCAAATTTTCTCAGGCTTCTCATGTACTTCTCATTGTATGTTTAATATTGTCTCGGTGATAGATATATTCGGTTCTACGAGAAACTCTCGCGACTATTATTGTATGTGTTGAATCTTAATAATCAGAAAATCTATTGCTTATACCATCCCCTATAATATTATAGTCTACCAATATTGAAGTTGAAGTGAAAATCGATGAAGGGGCTTAAGCGATGAGGTTGAGAAGTTGGTAAGGTATATTTATGATATAAGAACGAAGTGTCCGTTGAGAGGACTCTGAATCGTAGGCAAGATTGTCGAGAAGATCTGGATGTGTATCTTTGTACGAGGTGTTTTTTGTTGGTGAGTGAAGAATAGAGATGTAAGAGTAGTGTTTTTGAGCCTGCGAGAGAATCGACTGAGGTTTTTGCGGATGGCTTTGGATGCTGTAAGGGGTTGTTTCGGGTCAGGTTGTAGAGTTATGAGATTGATATATTGTGTTGGTATTATAGGATTGTATTGAGATTCTTGGATGCTGGGGATGAGAGATTTTTAGTTTTCTTTTTTTGGTGAGTGAGGAGATGATGGGGAGGTACCTGGTAGAAGAGAAATGGAAAAGAGAGGAAGATTATGAGAAGTATTAAATGAAAGAAAGAAAAGAATGGAAATGGAAATGGATATTTGGAAGTAATGTTTGCAATGTATGTCATGGTACAGGTACTTGGTGAGTATTAGAAGTATTGAAGGTGCTGAAGGTACTAGACATAGTGAGATTACAGAAATGTGGGAGACATCAGATAAATCCAAGACGTCAGTATTCGGCTCTTTAAGTGGTACTTTAGTAACTAATCCACCACCCGAGAAGCTACGAAAGATATATTTTAGAGCCTACGAGAACTCATCGTGCCGAATGTTTTGCGGAAGATTTTGTATGTTTCCGAGCTATATACTAAATCGGTGATGTGGTTACATAGTCTACGTATCGCAATGCTGTTTACATGACTTGAAGCTTTTTGATACTAGGTAGAGGGGACGCGTTTCTCTGTCTTTCCATAATGAATCAAAGGAGAAAATGAAAGAGGAAGGAGACAGAGTGGTTCCGATCCCTGAGATATATTCTAACTCATATGCAACGCACATTAGATCTTTACTTGGTAAGGAAAAGGATCGAGTAGGTTGGAAAGATGCTTGACCGCGATTCAGATTGAGAATGGATGTTCTTTGTATTGGAGTATTATTTGTTCAAGTGTGTATGTTTTAGAGCGTCGAGTAAATCATTGAAACGACTTATTGTATTTGTGTGCTACGAGAAGTATGTCTTCTACACTAGAGCATTTTATGAACTTGTATGATGCTATATATTGTATTAGTTTATATGTTGGAGTCCCTTTGACGTTGAGAGGGTAAAGGATTTCCTTTTTCCTTTTTCCTTAGTCAATGTAAGAAATTGATGAATATGCTGTGTAACATAGATATGAAGAGGGTGGGAAGGGAATGAGAAGGAGGAAATGGAAAACAAAATGGCATATTCTCAAATAACGTATGCTACTCACACTGAAATCTATAGGTAATCGATGAGAAGGGCGAGAAGGGCGAGAGGAGTGAGAGAATTGACAGAGATGATGGGAATGAAAGAAATGTTTGAGCCTGCGAGGAAATCATTGTGCCGAGGTTTATGCGTAAAGTACCTACTCTGTAAGTGTGCAATCCCCCATCAGAGACCATTCAACTAGATTGTATAGCAATACGAAGCGTCGCATGTTTTGTCATCTCTCACGATTATATGATTCTGAGGTTCTTTGATATCAAAAGAAGGAGAAGAATTCACATCCTTCCCCAAATGAGTGAAGGGGAAAAATCAAAGAGAGGAGATATAAGAAGAGGAACTGTGACTTGATGCTCCAATTGGACCTTGCAGGCTCTAAGATAACATTTGAAATAGTACACTCCAGAATGAGAAGAGTGAGAATTATAAAAATTGTAAAAGGGGCGAGGGAGACGAGAGCAATCGAATGTCAAAGGTCTTTAGGGTCGAACAAATCGTCAAGACCCTTGACCTTAAGATTGGGATGGGAGTATGTTCAAATCAATGTTCGTATACACAGTATTCAATGAGATTGTTAGGTGAGTAAGTGTCAATGGCTCATGCAAGCCGACGTCTTCAAGTCAGACAGCTTCGCCATGTAGATTCATGTCTGGATGTCTGGATGTCTGGATGTCGCCGGATCAATCGTCGAGAATATTTCAAGGGCCTAGATACAGTTGCCTTATACATACCGTTCTGACAATCTTCGATTGAAACCCTTTGTCGGATGCTATTGCAGGTGTACGGAGGCTTTTATTGTAACGGCTATCGTATTGAGACTGCACTATGGATCAAGTGAACTTATATCACTTAATGACTGATGTTAGCAAGTGTACATAACACAGACAGTGAGTCGCCTCGGTAGATATCGAAACACGTACCTCATAGTGTTCCATTCTCCTGTACCTTATCTTCAATCATGGACTCAGTATCAGTGCCAGTCCAGTACCGGTGTCAGTACCAGTGTACTTGATCCTGGACTATCGAATGTTGAGATATGAACATGCGCGTAACCCAGCTTTTTCTATGCATCGATGCATCGATGCATTCATTCTTTAGTAAATTCATACATTCAACATCTTATTACCATTCGAATATATATCCTTGGATCATAATCAGATACGAAGTGCTGACTAGGTAGCTATAATCCAGGTGGCGTGGGTGACAGTTTTGTATCCTTGAATTGACTTGTCATCGTTCACTCCACTCCAATAGCTCGAAGAGCCAATTAGACAATAGACACCCAGTAAGAAGATCGATAAGAAGATCGAAAAACAAGAAATATCATGGTATCAGTTCCCTTTCGCCACTTAGAGTTCACTCACT